CACAAATTATTTATTGGGGCTGACATTTGACCATTATGCTAGATCACGTTATTATATCTATATATATAGTGTCATCGCATAAGGTGGCAAATAATCCAGCTTCGAATAAGGAAAACGACAACTATAAATCTAAATTATTTTTAGTAAGAATACGTTAGATGTCAATACAAAGTTGATGTGTAACCTATTGATATATTCATATTTGTCTTTGCATAAATTATTTAGTTGGGTTGACATTCGGAGTGCTATGTTAGATCTATATATATATATATATATATATATATATATATAGAGAGAGAGAGAGAGAGAGAGAGAGAGAGAGAGTTGTCGTATAAGGTGGCAAATAGTTCAGCTCCAAATTAGGAAAACGACAATTATAAATCTAAATGCTTTTTTAGTCAGAGTACGTTAGATGTCGGGAAAAGGTTGATGCCTAACCTATAGTCGTCTGACGTGTTATTTGATATGTTCATGTATAACCTATTTCTAGCTGGTCATCATGTCTTACACTATGAGGAGTCCGTGCCATCTAGGTCGTCTATCCATCTCTCTCCTCCTCGACCACCCCTAAAAACATTTTGCCTCCTGGTGAGCCTCGTCTGCAGTATTGTATAGGGTGTAATTAGTTCACTATGGCATAATTTTCAAATCAAACCCTACGTGCAGTGACCTTACTACACCCTACAATACCACATCACTATTGATTTTGATCACTTCTATGCCATGTCTTCGTTCCTATCTCCATATAAGGAGAATGGCATTCCAAAACCAAACATCGAAGCCCTAGTGGCAATGAGCCTGTGGAAGGCGAATGGTGTCTAGCAGTTGACAATTCATGAAGCTATAAGGAGATGATGGGAAGCAAGGTGCTTCCTCGGTTCTAAATTACAAGTCATTCTGTTTTTTGTAGGTACATAACTTTTACTTTATACCTAGACATAATATATATCTAGGTACATAGCAAAAGCTATGTAGGTAAAAAAGTCAAAATGACTTATATAATTCAGAATGGAGAGGGTCCATCAAAGGCCAAACCAACGGTTGTTCGACATACACTTTCAGAAAAAGAATACCGTACGCCACCATAGTCTATAACGTATGGGTCGGACATGTGTCAACTGTGCACACAACACGTGCGCATCTCCTCATCAAGGCTAGCTACCACATCAGTGACACGTCGAAAACTGCCACGCCCACCGAGAGCAAAGTTGATTTCCATTTCTCCGTTTCCTTTCCGGTTGCTGAACTTCATTTGCACATGCACCCACAAAAGAAAATGTATTTTGCATACATATATGATATATGCACCCACAAAAGAAAACATATGTTGCATATATATTTGATGTATTTTTTTGTGAGGAATATATATGTTATATATGCCCATGTGTCAATAACCTAAGACGTCTACGTGCAGGACGCATAGTGTCTTGACGTACGTCGTCGCTACCGGCGAAACTTTTTCAAAGCGTGTTGAAGGCCACGACGAAACTATAGCTGGACCTAGGCCTGGGTATCGAGCCAGCTCGGTTCGGCTCGGTCCAGCTCGAGCTGGCTCGTTCGGCTCGACTTGTTAATATTATGAGCTAGAGGGATAGTTTGGCTCGGCTTGTTACCGAGCTCGAGTTAGCTCATTTAGTTCGCGAACTACTCAAAAAAAAATAGGACAAATGTGTTTATAATATTTATGCTATATTAATTTCAGAAGGTAACGTCCACCATTAGGTCCCGTTCGGCTTATTAAAATTTAGCTAAAATTGGCTGAATAACACTGTTCTGGCTAAAATGTTGTGAGAGAAAAACACTGTTTCGACTGAAAAAAAAGTTGAACAAGCCGGATATAAGATAAGCCGAACAGGGCCTATGCAACCATACATAATTAATACATATTAGGTTAATCAAAAGTATCAACCATGCAACTAGCTGGTCCATCTATGATCGTGCAGTTCCAGCATAGTAACTAGTTGCTTGCCACTGTAAACTTAAAAAAATCCACAGATTCAATGTCAACATCATCATCTTCTCCCTAAAAACCATCCATAAAATCAATATTTAAGTACTACAACAATTATAAAATTAAAATTCATATGAAACAACTGGAAATAAAGATTACATACCAATAGAATATGTGTACATTTCTAGGTCAGCATCATCATCTTCTGAATTTATGGTCGTGGGTTGATAGGTCACAGCTTGTTTTAGCTCGTGAACAGCTCACAAGCAGGCTCGAGCTAGATCATTAAAATAGCGAGCTAAACTTCCAACTCAACTCGTAAAAAAATTAAAACGAGCCGAGTCAAGCTGAGCTGAGCCGGCCACTAATCGAACGAGTTCACGAGCCACGGATATTTTGCCTAAACCCGAGCGAGAGGCGCGCGCCAACAACGACAAGCGCCGAGCTTACGTCCGCTTTCTCGGACGTTTTCCCAGCAGTAGCAGTAGTGTGTCACGGCTGCACTGCGATGCACTGCATGCCTCGCGAACGTTTGGCCTCGATCGATGGCTTTCTTGGACATTTACGAAGAGACTGCTTTCTCCATGTTCTACCGGAAACTGTTGCCTAGCCTGTACATTGATTGTTCCAGCTCTTACACGTACGACCTGGTTGTCTGCCGTTCAAAATTGCCAGTCTTTCCTACTAATAATTAATATAATATACATGAGAGATGGGTAGTTGATTGATGGCTTTCCTACTGGTTTTGTTGTTCAAAATAGCCGCTTATATTAGATCGAATGACCTACTTGTTGATAGATAAAATGGAAATAAAGAGAAAAAAGGCCTACAAAAACTCTTGGAAGGATAGAAGTGTACATGCAATGTACTACTATGTGTCTATGTACTGTTGTGCAATGCGCGTGGTTGGTCGTCGTCATGCATCATGAATGCATGTCAAATGCATCAAACAAGTTACAACTCTCAGCTAATTTATTGATCAATGTATAAGATAGAATAAGGACACTAAGTTTAGTTATTAAGGGGCAGAATGTAATGTGCTTGTATCTTTTGGTAGCACCTAGCCCAAGCAACAGCTAACAGGGGCATCCTATGTGCACAAGAGGATAGTGCTTGAGTGTCAATAGTGATAGTGTCATATTATTTTTTTTCCTACACGCGGATGTGGTTACGACAAAAAAAAAGCAGTGTAGAAAAATAATTAGCTGGATCACCAACAAATAATTAATGGTGTGCACTGCTAGCAATCAAATATTCCAAAGAAATTTTGTTACTCTATTTATGCCACTTGTGCACCTAGGTAGCTATCCTATCATAATTGTTAGTAGAATATATAATTTTAAATAGGAAATTAGCACGTATAAGTTTTATATATGATTACAAAAGAAGTTTCATAGCTCACTATGCGTGATTTGGTTGGATATACTAACGGTGTAGGTATATGCTAATCATAGCCACATAAGCAAGTGAACTTTACACGTGTACTTAAAACGGACAACTATAGACCGTTAGAACGTATTTTGTACTATATAAGGAATAAGTCGGTATCCATGCTACACTAGCTACTTCCTTAGTATGTTTGCTGTTGTGACTAAAACAGTTCTTGTCGGTAGTCTTACGTATAGAACATGATACATGATAATATTTTAAAAATAATCATGATGTGAGTCATCATAGATACAAAATATGTACGCGTGTAAACAAATACTAACAAAAAAGTCTGTTGGATCTAACAGAAATTAGGTGGTATTTGTTTGATATATTAACAAAGCTATACGAAACCCGGCCACACGCATGTAATTACATGCTTTGCAACCCACAGACATCTAAAAAACTAAAACAACTCTGGGAAATGCACGCTTGCAACCCATAAACATCTATCAAAAAAAGCGAAAACAACCCGGGGGGAAAGTTTTTGCGGGTGTGCGCGCGTGTGTGATGGCGAGAGATAAGCCCCACACGCAGTCGGTGGACCCAATCCTCAGACGCTTCACGACACGGCTTTGCCTGCGTGAGCTTGCCCCCCGGCCCCCGCTCCCATCCGCTGTACCCCTTTCTCTCTCCTCTCTCTCTTGCTCCGAGTTGTATATAAAAATACTCCCTCTCCTGTATATTTTCCCGGTGTGCATAGGCTTTGGAAGGGGACGAAGGAGAAATTCCAGAAATTGATTTCTAGTGGGGCATATAAGAGTGTGGGAGAGGAAAGCAGCAGGAGAGAAGAGAGAGAAGGAAAAGTATGACAAGGAAATGAGAGAAATGGGAGAACAGCCTTCTTAGCCTCTCCTCTCCATCCTCTCTCCACCACTGCTCTCTCTCCTCAGTAGCAAGAGCAAGCAAGAGGAGTGGAGCAAGCTAGCAGCAGTACCAGGGAGAGTGAGGTACAGAGAAGAAACAAAACTCGCTCGAATTTTTTTCCTGTTAAATATATGTATTTGTCTCACTGTATGTTTGTGTCATATATGATTCTGCGGGTGTGGGTGTTTGCGAGCTTTTGTTGTTTTGATTTTTTACTTGTTTTGAGTGCAACTGTTTGTTTGGATTTCCCTGTCCGCTTTGTTCTTTTGTTAATCTCGGAAGAGTCCTAAGCGGCCGATGCCTTGGAGCTTTTCTCGGCCGCCTGTCGATTTGTTTCTTGTTTCAGATCAATTCCAATCCAAGCACATACATATGAGAAGGTCTAGCCATCAGGAATTTTGGGGCTTCCTCTCCTTTCGGTCTTTATCTCCTTGGTTCTGTCGGGCTCCTCCTCGATTTGTCTCCGGATCGGAGGAACAGCTAGCAAAATCTTTCTCGTCTCGCTCCCATGGTCGCCGCCGCTCGCATCCTGTGTGTGTCATGTTTTTAATTTCTTGGAGATAGCAGTTGTTGATTGCCATGTCGGTCTCACTTGGAAAGTCTCTTGCTTGTTTCAGCGAAGAAGGGGAAGGACGAAAAGCACTGCCAATCCTATTCCTAGCAACAGGCCAAAGCGACCGGCAGGAAGGAGAAGCAGTGTCGTTGGCGTGTTGGAGCTGGTGGTGCCAGGATAAATCGGGAGGCGGCGGCAGTGATGGCATCGAATTCATCGGCGGCGGCGTTCTTTGGCGTTAGGCATGGGGACCAGCAAGACCAGATTAAGCCGCTGATATCACCGCAGCAGCAGCTGGCAGCGGCGCTGCCCGGCGTGGCAGGCGCTGTGCCTGCGGCGTCCGGCCAAGCAGGCGCGCCGACCGCGGCGGCGCAGCCACCGCCCAAGAAGAAGAGGACTATGCCCGGTAATTCACGCAACCCAAGTACCCCCACCCCCCACTGCATATACAGGTCAGGTCTCTGCTGCCTGCGACTGCGAGAGATCTCGCTCGTCTGGATCGATTGGAGTTTTATGAGTTGGATGCTGGCAGCAGGAGCATCTTCTTCTCTCACATGCACTCGATCGGTTTCTCTTTCCATTTCTTCGTGGTTTCTTCGCTTCTTGTTTGTGTGTTCTTGATTCGTGATCGCTGCTGTCTGGACTGCGTAGTTAATAGTCCAGAGAATTGTTGGCTGGTTTTCCAACGCAGATCGATGTGTGCAAACTGCAACCTGTTCTTTTGTTGGAAACTGGATTTTATGAAAAAAGTATAGTAATTCTCAAGTTCTTGTTGGTTTTCTCTCTCTTCCCTCCCTACCTAGTTCGAGGTGGATCCCCTCCCTACCTTGGCTGCAGAGCAAGTAGTAGACTTGACGAGACGAGCTTGGCCTTCAGTTTGCACCTTTCAATCAATATACTTCATTTAAAGCTCTATGTCCTCACAGTCACACCTGAGAGTGAGAATTAATTCAGGTGAAGAATATGGAAGGTTGGAGTCAGTAGACTTCATTCAATTCATGGCGCTACTATACTAGTACCAGTTTTCCCCCAGCTGGCCGCCTCTTGTTTGTGTTCTTCTCAGCAAGGCTCACGTTTTTGTTTTAAACGGTTGAAGAATTCAAACTCTCCTACCAACTTTTCCTTGGTGAATAAAAATAACAAAGTTTCATATTTTTCAAGAAGGAAACAAAAGCAGTTTACCTCCCAAGATTCCATGTGTGTGCATGCATGAGCTGTTACTCAGTTCTTCTTCCTTCCCCCAATTATGAGAAGCAAATAGGAGCCATGACACAATCCATGTCCATTCCTTTGTTCTCTATATCTCTTCCTGCAAACTCCTCCCTCCTTCCCAAAAAATCTCTTGCAAAATATTCCCCCCTCTCTCCATCGTCTCATAGCTTGTCGTCTCTACCGTGCCGTGCCACAGCTCACACCCACCGAGAGAAAAGCGGAAACAAAAACAAATACCTTCCGTCCCCAAATTACTATATCATCACTTCATCAGTACTAGCTCCCACCATCGTTTCTTAATCATGCATGGTTAACTTATAAGCAATAATTAATAGTAAAACTCAATCATCAATATAGAAAAACCATGTGCTATTGTCCTCCTTCCTAATCCACAACAAGTGCTGACGATCATCTATCCTTCCTTATTATGCATCCATGCATACTTTTACTGTTTGCTGAATTCAAAGTAAATTTTCCCTCCTGTCCATCATCATGCATGCATCAGTTCGATCGATCATATATAGCATTTCTTCTCTCTTTTATTCTTTTTTGCAAAGCTATAGTATATATTAGTAGCTAATAACTAGATTTGTGTTTGATTTCTCCGCTCTATCAATCGATGGGACGACGAAGCAGACCCCGACGCTGAGGTGATCGCGCTGTCGCCCAAGACGCTGCTGGCGACGAACCGGTTCGTGTGCGAGGTGTGCAACAAGGGGTTCCAGCGGGAGCAGAACCTGCAGCTGCACCGGCGCGGGCACAACCTGCCGTGGAAGCTGAAGCAAAAGAACCCGCTGCAGGCGCAGCGCCGGCGCGTGTACCTGTGCCCGGAGCCGACGTGCGTGCACCACGACCCGGCCCGCGCCCTCGGCGACCTGACCGGGATCAAGAAGCACTTTTGCCGCAAGCACGGCGAGAAGAAGTGGAAGTGCGACAAGTGCTCCAAGCGCTACGCCGTGCAGTCGGACTGGAAGGCGCACTCCAAGATCTGCGGCACCCGCGAGTACCGATGCGACTGCGGCACACTCTTCTCCCGGTAAGCCGCCTACGCCTCGCTCTCGCTCCCATGTCCGGCCGGTTTCTCCCATGCATTCCCCTCTCCTCGTTCGTTCGTGTGTGCTGTATATATCAGAAGTACGTGCACAGATGGCAAGGTAGTAGCTGCATTGCATTTGTATGTAGGTGTGTGTGTATGTACATATAGAGTATGTTCATGATTGCTGCATCATGATATGGCAAGTGTATAAAGCTAGGCATGGCATCGCGTCATGGGGTTTTGCACTGCATGAGCCTGTTGTAGCTGTCCGCTTATGGCTAGCTCTTGGATTCGGTGAGCGAGTAAAGTATTAGGAACGTTCCATGCATGGTTTGTCTGGCCTTCTTTAGGGTTAGGGTTTTGTTTGGGCTTGCGGCGACATGGCGCCTGTAGGTATAGTTTTGGTGCTCGCTGCTCAGCTCAGCTGGCCTGCCTGATGATTAGCTAGAAAGACGAACGAAGATAGATCCGCCATGAGGGAGAGAGAGATAGAAAAGAGAGAGAGAGAGAGAGAGGAATAGGTAGCCAAGCGCCCAGGCGGCCCAGGCCGGGCGTGCTGGAGGACTGCTTGCACGTGAAATGCAGAAATGGCTTCTTTTTGAGCCTTTTGGCCTTGGTGATGATGCTTCCCTTTCCGACTTCCCTCCCTAGGGAAGCAGGAACCACCAAACTCTCTCCTTCTGTCTCGCCAAACACTCGTCACAGTCACTAGTATTTAGGGCGTTTAGTTACGAAAATTTTTGGTTTTTGGCTACTGTAGCACTTTCGTTTATATTTGGTAAAAATTGTCCAATTATGAACTATTTAGGCTTAAAAGATTCGTCTCACGATTTCTCGGCCAACTGTGTAATTAGTTTTTTTTTCGTCTACATTTAGTACTCCATGCATGTGCCGCAAGATTCGATGTGACGGGTACTGTGCAAAAATTTTTGGATTTTGCGTGAAACTAAACAGGGCCTTATCTTATATATTTTTTCCCTGAACGGCTGAACTGATTCGTCAGTGTTACCCATCATGTTTACACATACACAGATATGCATGCGTCTATCAGCCTGTTCAGTTGGCTAGTTCGTATCGTTGCTGGTTTGTGAAAAAGTACTACTGGCTGGTTTATGTGAGAAAAAAATATTGTTCCGGCTAAAAAATTACGATCGTTTACGACAAGACACGGCCAAACGAACGTTGTTACTGACCCTGTAGACCCACATTTTTACTGATCCATCCTGTCAGGAGCAGTCAAGTTGCAAGGACTAGCAGGCTCTCGCTCCGTCAAACTGTAAGGAGCAGCAGCCCTATCACTTGGCTTGGCTGCCATGTAAGCCTAGCTTGTTCTCATGTGATTTGGCCGCTGTCTAGATGTGGCAGGCAGGGACGTTCGTTGGCCGTGCCAGTGAGCCATGCGCCCAGACCTAGCCAGGCCAGGTCCACCACCCCTTTTCATGGATACGTTTGCCATGACCTGGTATCTCACAGTGTGCCCTAGTCACGCATGCATCACCTAGTAGGTGTAACTTTGAGCCACTGTTCACATTTCTTGGCGCTGGCGGTGTTAAACATGTCCCAAAGTGGTGTGGTCATTCTCACTACTCTCTTTCATGGGTATGGCAAAAATTCTCCAATAGGAAGTAAGCATATATAGTACTTATAAGTAAGTTGCCAACAGGAGTTGCATTAATGGCCGCTTGAGTTGCTCTATTGAAGAAGTCCTTCTGTTCCACTGTTTGCTCACACTAAATCCATAGATTCCACACGTTTTGTTGTCAAATATTAATCTTGATTAGGGCCTACTATTAGATTCAATTAGTGCGTGGTTCAACTGTTCAAGGCACAGTCACGCAAAAAAAAAAGAATCACGGTGCGTGACTGTGTCTTGATCCCTTGGGAAGTGAGCTTACCAGCCCCACAAAGTTTTCTGATCTCCTTGTGTGTGTGTGTTCGTGTAGATGCATGACAGTTCTGATGCCTATGTCTTGCTGCCTTTTTCTCGTCAAGCTTCCTACTAGTGGGAACCTGGCAATGCTATCCAGCACATCTCACCTTTTCTTTTTCCATTATTGATTGACATGGGTTTCTGGGATCTTGAGCTTAGATTTGTGGTGAGGCTAGCCTGCTGCTTTTGATGTCTGCATGCGTCAATGCATGGTTACCAAACACCTTTGACTAATGCTATCAGACAAGACAAACCATGTAATGTAAAGCACCATTAGGGAAGTGAAATAAACTCCTGATGGCACACATCACATACTGCAGACTCTTTTATCCACAAAAAAAGGGAAATTTGCAGAGCCTGCAGGGAAAAGAAAATAAAAGTCACTACCGTTCAGATCCATGAATTCCAGCTACAAACACAACATTCAGTGGCACAGCATCAGCATGCATGCATTCTGTTGCAGCGGCGTTCACGTCCATCCGAAACAGTATCTTAACCCGAGATGCCGCTGTTCTCCTACGAAACCTGCATGCTTACTTGTCGCATCAACTTTTACTGTACATTTTCACTGCGCCGTCTCGGGCTCATGCGATTGTCTGCTTCCCTTCTGAGTTCTGACCTAGCTACACAACACAGCAATGCAAGCTGAAACCTCATGCATGCGTGATATGATATCCTATCTTATTCGTCGATGCGTTGGTCCATGCAGGAGGGACAGCTTCATCACGCACCGGGCGTTCTGCGACGCGCTCGCGCAGGAAAGCGCGCGGCTGCCGCCGACCAGCCTCAGCAGCCTCACCAGCCACCTCTACGGCGCCACCAACGCGGGCAACATGGCGCTCAGCCTCTCGCAGGTGGGCTCCCACCTCACCTCCACTCTCCAGGACGGCCACCACCACCACCACCCGTCCCAGGAGCTCCTCCGACTCGGTGCCACGGCCGGCGGCGGCAGCAGCATCGCCGCGCGCCTCGACCACCTCCTGTCGCCCAACGGTGCCTCCGCCTTCCGCCCGCCGCAGGCTCCACCGTCGTCGGCGTCCTTCTTCTTCAACGCGGGGGCATCGGTCGGGCAGGACTTTGGGGACGACGCTGGCAATGGACCGCACTCGTACCTGCAGGCTAACAAGCCTTTCCATGGGCTCATGCAGTTGCCCGACCTCCAAGGCAACGGTGTTGGGGGCCCCGGCGCCTCAGGCCCCAGCCTCTTCAATCTGGGTTTCTTTGCTAACAATGGCAACAGCTCGGGGTCCAGTCACGAGCATGCAAGCCAGGAGCTGATGAACAATGACCAGTTCAGTGGCGGAGCAGGTGGAGGCGGTGGCGGCGGGGGCTCGGAGGTTTCGGCGGCTGGGATTTTTGGCGGCAACTTCGTTGGTGGTGGAGATCAAGTTCCACCCCCGGGGCTCTACAGCGATCAAGCCTCCATGCTGCCGCAGATGTCGGCGACCGCTCTGCTCCAAAAGGCGGCGCAGATGGGCGCGACCTCGAGCGCGAACGGCGGCGCGGCGTCCATGTTCCGAGGCTTCGTGGGCTCTTCCCCTCACGTGCGGCCGGCGACGCCGCACATGGAACAGAGCGACGCGAACCTGAACGACCTGATGAACTCGCTCGCTGGAGGTGGCGTCGGCGCCGGAGGAATGTTCGGCGGCGGCAACGGCGCCGTCAGCGCGGGGATGTTTGATCCCAGGCAGCTGTGCGACATGGCGGAGCACGAGGTGAAGTTCGGCCAGGGTGGCGGGGACATGACGCGGGACTTCCTTGGCGTCGGCGGAGGCGGCATCGTGCGCGGGATATCGACGCCGAGAGGAGGAGGAGACCACCAGACCAGCAGCGATATGAGCTCCCTGGAGGCCGAGATGAAGTCGGCCTCGTCCTTCAACGGAGGCAGGATGCCATGACCGACCCATCGATCGAGCTTATACAAGACATAAGCTCGCGCACAGTAAGCCAGAGACTTGATCAAGCAGATGCAATGAGAGGAGTAGGGTCGTCGTTATATAGCGTAGTGGCAAACAATGCAAGTTAGCAACTGAGTCGCATGAGTGAGTTCATGCATGGGATCAAGCTAGCTAGCTAGCTAGCTTTCATCATCCGAAGGGACCTTGGGTGAGAGAGAGGCGTCTTCTCTGACTAATGGAGTAAGCTAGTGCGAGTTGGACGCATGTGATGACCCCTTTGCTCGTGGTGGGGGTTGGTGTTCATGCTGGTCTTGTTTTCTTGTTGGTTTTCCCTTCCTTGTAGTTGGATAATCTTTGTTGGATTAAGTATAGTTTCTGGTCATAGAACCAATAAGGATGTTTGTAGCTAGCTTAATGGGGCGTGTTTTGCAGCTTAATTTGCTCCGTTCCCCTTCTGCTATTTTTTATTACCTTTTCTCTTGTAGCAAAACAATATTCCCCTTACAATGCCATTAATCATGCTAGCTCAAATTCATGTTGTTTTCTTGTGTCAGGATGCATATGCATATATAGTCAAGTGTTGTGTCTGCATTGACTAGGTCAACAATATGTTGACATCTTTTCCTATTTAATAGTCTTATAAGTCCATTTACCATGAAAAAGTTTCTCTATATATATAGTTTCTGCTGCTTGAAGATCATAAATCCAACACTAGCTAGTATTTCATATACTTTCTGCCAGAAGGCATGGTATCATGATAGTGATTAGGGTCTGAACAAAAAACAAATTCTTTTTAACAAAGTCAACTCTTTTGGACCTTATAAATAATACCAAATCCATATCAAAATAAGTGTTCTTCTGACTATGCGCTTGCGGTTATTTTAGGATGGGGGCGGTTTTTTTTCAGTTTTGATATACTATACACGGGTGAAAAAGGCCCCTCTTTCACCCAAATTTTGTGAGCATACTATAAGAAAATATTATGGTGTTTAGAGGAGTTCTACAATCATATTTAAGGTGTTGCAAGAATCAGGAGAAATATTCCTTTCACACAACCAAATTCTAAGTTACACCAATTATACTTAGAAATTATACCAAAATGTAAATCCAGGATAAGTTATTTTATACTCCCATACGTTTTGTATTGCAAGGGCAGTACTACTTAACGCTACATTGTGTTGTTACACGACAAGTGGAACTCCTATTAAATTTACTGCACATATGATACTTGTGGCTTTTTTTAACGAAAATATGATACTTGTAACTGATTGGCCACTTTGATTAAGCACAGCGTGAGCTGATCTCTAGGGCAAAAGATGCCTTCCTGCTGCCCGTGACTGTCTATAGCGCTTGACTTATTTGCACAGCACGTACATCGTGCGGCTTTAGCTTCTCGCGCTAAGCTCGAGCTTGCTACTGCTTGGTTGTGCTGTCTCTCTACGTTGGACAGAGAGCGAGCGATAGGATGTAGCTTTCGATCGCCTCGTGAATGCACGCCGGTCTAGCTCAGGCACACCACAGTATATATGGGCCGCCCAAATCATTGCATCCTTCTTCTCATCAATGTACCAATCACTCTCGACCGAAGAATATTCAGATATTCTATATATTATTATCTGAATCCATATTGAAGCAATTTTGTCTGAATAATTCGGTTTAGTTTGATACTGTTAATAAGTATATACCCAATAATTCCCTTTCTTCTTACCAATTACCAAGAGATGAGTAATACATGCATTTCATTTAGGGTCCATTTGGATCTTTTTCATTTTGGAAGAATTGGAATATACTTTAGGGACTAGGCTATTTGGCTTAGAATTTGACATTCCATAACTTTCTAAAGTTTAGATATAAGCCTATCTTAAATTCATAATGATGAGAGATAGGATTCTATAGAATCTCATGCTATATTTCTGCTCTACAACTTATAGCGCTTTCTTCGGCTCGCTCCCCTGCAGCATAAGTGCATCACATAATTATCTTCCCATGCGTGGCCAACAGCGGTCTACAAGTATATTCCTCATGTGGCTATATTGATTTAATTGATCTGTGCCTAAATTGTGATTATTAGAATGGATTCAATTCGAAGGATCCAAAAGGAGCTTTAGAAAAAAAAAATGAAAATAAGGATCAAAGCTTTGGATATGATCCAACAATTAGCTTTGAACTGGAACTTGGTTTCTTCTTCATGGAGTTCTAAGCATGAACTTATTATTGTACAGTTTTACTTCACTAGTGGAGCAGTTTTTTTCTTCGGCTCCACGAGTAATTCCACTGGTGGAGTTGAAGTTGTTTAGAAGAAACATTTGGTAAAACCACTTTTCATGGTAAAAAAGAGAGAGGGGGCTAGGAGAAGCTAGCTAGTATTTTAAGCTCCATCTAGGTCGCACCCCTATGACTGGTAGATTTTGAGGAGTTGTACCATTTTAACCCGTTTGGCAAAAAAAAAAAAAAAACAGCTTAGAATATAGCTCCTGGAGAGAAGTTGTGACAAATGAGGCTTAGGACGACGTACTGTACGTGCATATTTGCATGCATGAGTGTGAGTGGTGGGTTGCAGAGGAGGGATGCATATATAGGACTTGGAATAGGATCGACAAGAAAATTTTGCGGAGGAGGGAAAGACAAGAGATATGACGTGGTTTGGTCATCCATTGGTGGTTGGTATACTACTACATACACCTCTCAGTCCAGTCAGGACTCAGGAACGGAATGTTTGGGCCTAACTGCTAGATTCGCGGTTTGGCCGTGGCTCCCTGTGTTGTGTGGCAGCCACGCATTTTGTGGAAGATTTGGCTTTCCTCTTGGACGCCTTCTTGCGGCCGCGGTGGTTAGTGAAAGAGAATTATTGTCGGAATGAAGTCGTCCGTACCTGCCTGCCGCAGCGTTGCGTTGACGGGGACGGCGGCGAGGCCAACAGCCGTGGCCGACAGGGACAGCTGCCGGCCGTAAAAAGCCACTACTAGCTCTCGCCCGCAAAAGAAGCTGCGATATCCGATTTTCCAATGATTCTTGGGAGGAAAGGGAAAAGGCCGGCCGGCCGGGCCAGAGCAAAGCATGATGCGCCCGCGATCAGCCTAGCCTTCACTTTTGTCTCGTGTGATGTCCGTGATCTGACGATCGATGATGATGAGATTGAGGGCTGGCGTCAAGAAAAAGATAGATTGGTCACAAGTACAATAGTTCCCTGGAAAGCCAAGCAAAAAGGTGGGAATTATTGGAGGAAGCTGCAGGGACAGAGCATGCATGCAAATGCATGGTTTTGTGAATGCCTAATAAAGCAGCTAGTAGCAGTAATCAAGGAAGATCTCATCGTGAAGTGGACTTAGCAGTACGTTAACATCAGAGAGGTCGGAGAGCTACTAATCGTCTGGCGCGGAACCAATAATAATAATAATTTGCACGAGTCTTATTGCAAACCAGACTTTGTCTGTAGGTTAGTTTGAGTTCATTTAATTTCCTAGAAATTCATACGATGCCAGCAGAAGAAGCTCGTTCGAGCAATACTACCGTAAAGATCTACACGCACGAATACATGTTCGCTCGATCGTATCAGCCATACTAAACAGCATTAGTCGACTTATAAGCCACAGAAACGATTAAACGAACAGGATACGGTCACTGTACTGTTTGATACTTTAGCGGCAATCCAATAGAGATTAATTATTGCCCCCACGTGGCCGCTGTTACAGAGACGCGCAGACAAATGTACTGCGCAAAATTTTTCATCCATATCTATAAAAAACCTTTAAACGTGTGTTCAAGCAACTGTTCATCCGTCGGCAGGCAAGACTCAGAACCCTGTAGATCCACAGTGAATCAATCCCAGCCGTTCATCCGTTCTCTCTCCGTTCCAAGCTCGATTTAGAATTGAACAAGGTAGCAACCACCCATGAATGAATATATAGGGAGTACATGTGGAGGAGGATCGGATCGATGTCCGCACGTGACCTGAACTAGTAAATTCTGACGCTGTTATCAGGAGCTCTCCCTTTTTATTGGGCGGCCTCCGAGACCTGCTGGAGAATCTCTGCATTTGGGAGGGGAGACGACGCATATGCTGATGCTGACGCTGATGCAGCACTGCACACGGGATGCTTGCTGCAAAGGTAAGGTTAACCATGCATAAGCATCCTGGGAATTCCTGCTCCCCGATGATCAGCTCTTCGATGGGCGGGTCTCTTGCAAGCAAGGACAGTTCAGCTGACACGTATATATGTACGGTGCGGGTGGCGGTATTATATTATGGGTGTGTTTAATTCTCCTAAATTCTCAACTTTGACACTATGCAAAAAGAAGATTTTCCGTCACATCAAACTTGCGGTACATGCATGGAGTACTAAATGTTGACGAAATCAAAAACTAATTGCACAGTTTGGTTGTACTTTACGAGACGAACGTTTTGAATCTAATTAGTCAACGATTGGACAATTATTATCAAATAAAAACAAAACACTACAGTGTTTTCGGCGGCGCCGATTCGGGTGAACTAAACATGCCTATATTTACAGAATTGCTAACAGTCATCCGGTTGTTTTGCAACCAGCTAACAACCGTTTTTTGCCGTACGATTGGCGGACGGGTCGCTTCGGTCTGTACGCGTCTGCCGCCCGATCGCTTCGGTCTGTATGCGTCTGCCGCTGCCGCGCGCTGCGTCGCAGTAGAATACGAGTACCGAGTACGTATGGTACGGCAACACCATGAATCCAGAATCCTTCGGTTCGTTTGGCAACACAAGTAGTCACGTGGGGGCCATGTAGTCGACTACGTATTGTACACCAGCATGGCCTTGCGCGTCGCGTTCACGGCGCCGACGCCGATCATGAGGGAGGCCACGGAGACGAGGCCGTCGTTGGCGCCGAGGACCCCCGCGCAGAGCTACTGCGCGCGGGCCATGTAGTCAACGCCGGCGTCCTCGTCGACGTCGGGCGGATCGAGTGCCATGAGCTTTGTTTGACATTTGATATTTGTGAATAATTTGGCATATATTTCTCTGATGT